TGGCAGGTGGCTGAATTTTACGGAGACTTGCCGCGGTCTCCAACCCTCCTCCTTTCTCATCCGGGCTTGGTACCGGCCATGGCGGAGTTCCTATTTAATCTGTCACTGTTTTTGGATGGAATCTTGAATCAAGTTCAGATGGAAGCAAGGATTACTCATTTGGTAGAGAGCATCTGATTCAGAACCGAGAAGTTTCGGATTTCGAACTTCTGTTGGTACCCCCTGCCTTTTTTCAGAGATACAGCATCATAGAATGGACGCATGATACCACACGCTATAGCCTACACAAAAACTGGGTATTTCCTTCGAAGAAGAAAAAACGAAGGACATGGCGCTCATTTCTGATCGTACTGAAAGGGATTGGCTTGACGAAAGATGAAGCGCCAAATGATAATCATTAAATATATTTCCTTTCCTCGGATACAGATGCCACTTTCAAGAGTGTTTTTCACAGAGATCTACTTTGAATATATGGCCATTTCAGTGAGTCAGTCAGTTTTGATGACCGCCTTTCTATTTGGGTCAAAGAGGCAAAGGGTGAGACTGACCCCAACGATCTCGACCTTGTGTCAGCGTGTGAGTTTCTGCATAATGTAAACCGAGTCTGAAACATTATCCCCAGTTCGTTCCTTGCAGTTTTCTGCTGGTCAGTTGGTGAAGTAGTAGCTGTTTCTCCTTCCTTTATGGAAGCATTCGCAAAACATGCGCAGATCATTCCAGATATGACTTCTCAATCTGGAGATTGCGCGATTTTTATACCAAGGCCTTCTAGGATGTCTGTACTTCGGACCTTGTCCAGAGATGTAACTCAGAGATTCATCGGAATAAGCGCATTTCAGCTGTCTGTAAACAGAATCGAAGTTTTGAATCATGGCCATCGACTTCTTACATGTGCTCTTTCCTTTTCCACAGAATGGTCTCAGAAGAATGACGGGCGAATGTTCTGAGCGGGACTTTAATTCAGGGTTTCTGGACTCGGGTTTGATACTGTGTCGATTAATTAAGTCACATTGATATCGTTCAATGATTTATAAAATCGGATTTGCATTTTATGTTTTAACAGAATCGTGTTGTTTCTTCACCTTTTGTAGCTGACAGTGTTTGAAGTGGAGAGTTTCCAGATTTTGATTAATGTCATGCGATGTACACTGTTCCAGCAAAGGTCGTATCTTTCGTTGCAAATAGGTTTGCTTCAAAGCTGTACTTCCTGGTTTTGTATGAATGCTCAGCTTTCCATTTTAGCAATTTGACTTTGGTAGGTTAAGTCAGTGAGGCACTAGCTCTAATATTATTTTCTGATAGTTTCCTTCGACCATTGCTCGTCAGATTGTTCTTTGGTCGCTGGTGTCATCGTGAGTTAAGAGTACATTGCAGAGACAGCTTTCTTCCAATTTCTGGGTAGTATTGCGCCTGGGCTAGGTTTAATAGCTTCTCCTTCAACCGCGAGATCAAGCAGAGCGCATGTAAGAGAGTTTTCGATTATAGTATCATAAAACCGGTAGAACGGGAAACTAAAACGAGATGATACCCAGAAACACCTTGTAGTTATGCAACGTGTGTTTAATCTCTTACTGCATTGGATAGTTACCCCTCTCACTCGCTTTGTTTCAAAAAGACTAATTTTCTTTGTTTACTTGACTAAGAAATTCTGCAAAAGCATATTTCTTGTAAATCAATAATTTTGAATCTGCTGCTTAGATGGTTCGATTACGTGCCACTTGGTGATGTCATTCCTGGGACTCGCTTTATATGTTGCAAAGTTTCTCTGACAAAGGTAGGCCAGAATACAGTGTTTATTTGTATTAAACGCTGATCCTTTTGTGCAGGTGTTTCCAAAACCGTTACGGTCGTTCAGGCCGGAAGACCTTGCTTCTGCGGTCGCCGAGAAAGGCTACCAATTGGGTCTAGTGATAGATCTCACTTACACCGATCGTTATTATTCGGGAAAGGTGCGTCTGTGCATTGTTCTACAAACCACTCATAATGTCAGATTTCGTTGCTTGGCACTTGTTTTTCGATTACATGACTATAAATTGCATAAAAATTAATTAATCATTTAATTGCATAAACATTTCTATAAAGTTCTGCCTGAAGCGACGTTTCGAATAATGGTTCGAATAATCAGATATCAACTGCGCATTGTCCCATTTTTAGCTTTCACTTTTAACAAACACTTTTGCTGTCTTGCCTAGTGCAAAATGATATCCGTCTGGATTTCTCTAGCTCTTCTGTAGATTTCACATGTTTGGCTTTTTGGATGGGGAGGCGTCTGTTAATCACCAATCTGTCTATGAACCACAGCAAGTACAAGGTATTGTGTTTTCGTGATGATATCGTTAGCTTCAAATGTTGGCAGGTACATTCTCATGCGTCATGTAGTACACGTACAGCGTATACTATATGTATATACCGTTTCTGCTGTATCCATTGGCGCATAACTCCTGCAGGGCCAAATTTACGGTCCATTGCACTCCAACTTCAATTTACATTCCATTGCACAATCCTCTTGGCGTTAATGCCTATGGATGTGTTTAAGCTGACAACAGCGCCTTTGCATTTAAACACCTAAACTGCTAGCTGCATCTCGCATCATTCTGTTCGTAGAAACAATCTCATTTCCTGAGCAGTGTTTATCTGCTACACAACATATATAATGAAACATGCGTTCGTATATCGGAATGTATTAAATGGCGTGTAACTCCTCCAAGACTAGGTCCTTCAGACCTATGCTGTGTTTGTTTTTAGAACAGGACGTTTGAAAAAGTTCTTTAAATCGTCTAGACTAGAAGAATGAATCAACTACCTTCGTCCAAACTGCTTACAGTATACCAGCGACCTCCAGCTGCATATAACTATGGAAGCGGCTGGAAGCGATCGGTTCCATCGATACTTTACTTTGTTTTGATGCGCCTTTTTATACACATCGCACATGTACAAATTAGCATTAATACTAATCAATTCTCGCAAAGCTTGCTCTCGTTTCAGTCACATCGGCATCACTAGCACCGTGTCCTTTATGAAGATGCGCACTGTTGGCTTTATCTAAATTTTTTCTTAGCAGTTAACTTTTTGAATCTATGTCTGGTCTTATCTCTCTTGTGCAAAGCATTTTTTATCGTTCATACGTTGGTCATGGTCGCCTTAAATTAAAATATCCGATATTTTTATTAATTTATGAATTTATAGCTTGATCTGCTCTCCCTTAGGAGTTTACAGATAGATCAATTGAATATGTGAAGATATTCGTGCCGGGACATGAGATCCCCCATTACAAATATTTTCGTCAATTTTGTGATGTGGTTGAAGACTTCCATCGACGTGCTCCCCAAAACGGTAATTCGCATATGATCGTTTAATTTCGTGAACTGCATATTGTAGCGTTAATAGCGGTGCATTGTACGCATGGTATCAATCGGACAGGATATTTTGTATGTCGCTATCTGGTTGAGCAACTGAGATGGACTGCCAGTCAGGCGATTGAAGGTATGTAGCCAAAGTTGAGAAGTTTTCCTTTCTTGTATCAGACTGCAGGGCACATGAGCTTGGGATTTTTTAACGAAGAGTTTCCTAAAGGTGACCATGAATCTGGGCAGTGCGATCCTGGCTGACCTAACTCTTCCTCAATACCTCTTGTTCAAAAAGTGTCGTCGAACAACCAGGTTAATTTTCATTCTGTTCAAGTGTCGAACCGAGACATATCGAAAGTCAGTTTTCCCAGTCACAGTTAGATGCTTCATCGACCCTATCAAAGAATAACGTGATTTATGGGGGAAACAACTATCTGCCAATAATAACTTTATATCAGCTGGTGTTTATTAATTTTTGAAGATAACAAGTCTTTTGATTTCATGGTTGAATCAGCCATGGAATCGGAAGACCTATTATCTTCAGGTCATCTGCGGCACAGTATGGATATAGCCTTAGAACTTGTTGATTAATTCTTCTTTCTTAGCTTACTTTTGTTTGTTAATCCGTTATCACCGTCTCATTCTTGTTTATGAGTGTAAACTTTTCTTGTCATTTCATGGATACCGGAATAAACTAAATTGAATCATGAGATCGAGTATAACTCACTTGTGTGCTAATGAAACTTCGTTTTGCAGTTGTTACATGCGAGTGGTGTCGATTTTGGTTTGTTACTGAGCTATTGCTCCTAAGGGACCTAGAACGGTTGCAAAAGCCCGCTCCAGCAGGTAGAGATGGTGAGGTTATTCATCACGATATTTGTCTGTGATCAAGCTCTCACAATGATTCTTCAAATTATTTGGGTTACGAAGACATCAACCATAGTTCAGATTGGTCGGAATTTCGAATGGATTTTCGACCAAGGAAGGAAACAAACTGATGCAGCGTTTCAACGTAGGTCTTATACCTCGATATATGGACACCATTTCTATGAAGTTGATGGTGGGACGCTGATCTTAAGTTCGATATCATCAGCTAAGAGTGCCTTAAGTTTTTAAGGCGAAGTCGATAACAGCAATGTAACCAACATTGTGCGTAGGCTCTTGTTTCCTTCCCACATGGTAGTAATCATTTATCAACCTCGGAAGGAACAAAGACGGTTGACCCTTTGGAACTCTCGAATTCTCGACTCTGAATCTGACGCTCCACTGACTAAGTAACCTGGCTGTAATAACGTGTGGCAAATTCCTTGTTTCAGGGAATTCTGGTTAAGAAAAATATTACCCTCTATCGGAATTGGACTCACCACCTCCGGAGTTCAAAACCGACTTTTTACACACTGTACTACTATAACACCTGGATTGCATTTGCGGCGTGCCACGGTCAAGGACAAGTCGAATCAAAGGATCAGTGACAGTGGTCGCGAAGTCAGCTGTCTAGCCAAGGTCACAGCCTTATGTATGCATTGGGTTCAGATCAAATCAGTATGCAAAATAATTCTGCAGCCTGTCTGATGCAAAGAATTTATAATCGAATATATAGAGCGAAGACTCGCGGTTATAGTTACAACACGGAATATCAAGCATATGAGGTAATAAGTCAAGATAAAACTCATTGCATTTTGCTAAAATACGAGGCCGTGGTCAGATAAAGAGACTTCATCGTTGGATACTATACAGCGTTGTTCACAGATAGGTGGTAGTGCTGCAGAAGTGACTTATTTTCGACAAGAAAGATGCATGGCCCCTAGTTGCCCGCCAGCTTATATCTTCTTGAGTTATAACTAACAGGGCGTAAGGATCTATAAAGAATAGCCAGCTACAATTGCTCAGTAGACTTGCTGAGCAGGATGACCTATTACAAAATATATATTGAAAAAATATCTCAAAATTACCAAATACTGCAGTGTGATGAAATGGCATATGATGATAAATAAGCGAACACTATACACTACCGTTCAAGTGTGGGAGTCACTGAGAAAAACAGCTTAGTGAAGTGTAAAAATATGGAAATTGCGAAAGAAATATGACAGAGCATGTTTCATTTATGCTTTACGGTTGCTCTTCTAATAATTAATACCACGTTTAAAGAGTTACAAGGATTTAATTAATAAAAAACATTTGAGCATAAGAATCTTCGTGGCATAATCAAGAAGCAGATTAACATTAATATCACCATTAGAGGAAGACTGGATGGCTCTTAGCAACTAGCAATCTATCCCATTCCTCTGCAAGCACTCTTGATGCGCGGCATCCGGTCACAGGTTTTCTCCAAGCCAACAAAACACATGTAATCCGGATAAGCGAGCTCCCTTAATTTCGCAACAATTTGTCATAGGGCGAAGATTTTGCCAAAGGTTATTCAGATTCGAACTTTTGACTACTTCAATGACAACACACTGATAAGTTCATAAAGATCACCTCTGCCACAAAAATGGAATTAGAAACCAAATCAGCTTTTTGGACATGCTGATTAAGATACATCATTGTTGCGTCCAAAATTCTTAAGCCTTAAAATATGACGAACAGTAAAAGTAATGTCGCTGTTGTCCTCTTTATGCTCAAACTAACAAAACTAAATAGTCCCTGGAATGGAAATTTCGAATCTACTACAAAACTGAAGGTTCACTGAGATCGCAAATTTCGGAAGAAACTCGATCAGCCTGCGAACGAAAGAGATGTACGTGATTTATAAGACTGAGTGCAATGACACAATTCAACGTCAAAAAAACCAAATGTAAATTGGACAAAAAGGTTATCATTCATTCAAACGCTCAGAGAAATGGGTATCCGGAAAATTATTGTATCGTTTCCCATGCTTTCTACTTTAGACACTCTGAATGTCACTTCTGTTGAGGAAGAAATAAGCATCGAGCTATTGAAGAATCGTTAGACATGCAGGCTAAGAAGTCGACTATGTTACGAATATATGAGCTTGTTTCGTTCGATTGAATGACAGTTTGAACGTCGTCAGGCAATTTGTTCAAAAAAAATTAATGCAACTGCCACTCTAATGTCGAAAATTTTCATGATATCGTGCTATTTCATTTGTACATCATTATCATATCGTATTAAGGCGCTGGTATACGGTGTCGAAACACGTTGATGAATAAAGGATAGTACATCATCCTCTCTAACTGTAGCTTTGAATCATGGATTGATAAGTGAAGGCCATTAACTGTTATTAAAACAGAAACCAAATGCATGCCTAAATTAATACTTATTTGCTTTTTTGATGCTTTTATCATCATGTTGTCATATATTTTTCAACAAATTTATATTTTTGTTCGATTAGAATAAAATAATAAATTTAGCCTTCGGCAATGCAAGAGGGCATCCGATAGAACGCGCAAATTTCATCGAAGACATTTATGAAACAGAAAGCAAACGTGCAGCTACAAATCCCTGAACACAGTCGCAGTTTATGATCAAGTACGTTTTAAACATGTTTGCTTGGCGCATCGAAATGTCTGATTGACCTATTTTAGTACGAAACGAGTTTGTTGCTCAGAGTAAGCACCGTATATTGTCGACTGTCGGGAAACCGGCAGTGGGTGTGAAAGATTTTAACATTGGTTTCCAAATGTTTCTTATTGGTGCTTTAAACTTGTTTGTATGCATGTGCTGTTCATTTAAAATGTTCCACAAGTTTCGGACAACACAAATAATTCGTGGCCAGAGCTTTGGCAAAAGACGAAAGTCATGTTATTCTTGGCTGTCCTTGGGTTCTTCTATCGGTCGGTTGGGCAAGTAATAACTGTTTTGTCTTCTTTCTAAAATCATTCGGAAAATGTGCCCAACCATCGCAGCTGTGACTTCTCAATGTTAGAAAAGCAGCCACTGTACACCGAGATTCTCTCGGACATGTGTACTCCAGACTATGTCGAGACATGTGAGCCCAACAATTCATGTGAGAAAGCCTATTTCAGCCGCTGGTATCCGATATCGAAGCTTTTCAGTCATATCCATAGGTAAGCATCGGGATGAAGATCGAACTGAACACAGAGAGCTTAGTCTTTAGACTCAGCTCTGCGTTAGTCACAACGGTTCAGGCTAGTTCACGCAGAACAGTAATCGTTGAGAATTTTTAAGTTTTACTGTTATATATATATACCGAAATAATTCATGTGCGAGTGCACTTCATCAAGGATCCTGTGTACGAATCGATAAAAAAATGTTTACATACCCATAAGTTAGATAATTTAACGAATGAGATAAATTTTAAAAAATTACAAAAATAGTTTATTCGAAAGGTTTCAGCTTCCAGACGTGATTACTAAAGTTTTCCTAAGATGAATCGATTGATGATTTCTGGTGTGTTTATGTCAAAGCCAATGACATCGATCGTTTCCTTGTCGCTTGGGTCAGTGATCGTTAAGCCACTAGCAGACAGAGCAACGACCACGAGTTTAGTATCAACGATACCGCTTGCCTTTCGGTACTTCATGAAAGCTTCATGTGCAGAAAAACCGCCGGATACAGTCTGGTAGTTGGTGTAAATGATGATTACGTCAAATTTTTCATTGTGTTTCCTGGCCCATTCCATCGGCACGCACAGGTTAACGTTGTATTTCACGTTAACGAGATAGGATATATTTTTTACGGCATCGTTCAGGCGAGTAGACGGAGTCAGAACAGCAGCCCGTCGCTTGAGATGGAAAGGCATCACGTAGCAGTTCGGCTCTACGCGTAAATGAGCCAAGCACAAAGCGACTTCT